GAGAGAAGAGCGATAGAGAGAGAGAGAGAGAGAGAGAGAGATGAGAGAGATGAGAGAGAGAGAGAGGGAGAGGGAAATTGAGAGGGATGAGAGAGTGAGAGAGAGGAGAGAGAGAAAGAGAGACAAGGAGAAGAGAGACAGAAAGAGAGGAGGTCAGACTACAGGCTGGGTTATAGATAACACCCAGGTGTGTAGGGTTATTATCTACCCCCACACGCAACGTTCTAAAGACCAGTTTATCCAACTAAAGCACCTGCAAATTCTAGCTTTTGGCACGCGAAGCTGTATAAACTGCCTTTCTATGCTCGACTTGGACGCTAGCAACAATTTAACGCAATGGGGCCAAATATCTCACTCAGACAGACGTAGCTAGGTCATTGGTGAAATCCACATTAGGCACGCTTAGGTATCACGAAGTGATGCACGGATTTCTGTTGTAATCATCAACTTGATGCACAGGACTCCGTATATCAAGGAAATGATGCCAAAACCTTAACGCCTAACGCCTACGGCTAAGCAACACTTTCGTGATACCTATGCCTAAGGTTATATACTATTATGTGACTTAGGAGTTAGGGGTTTCCGGTTTATTTGCATCATTCGTTGATATACGGAATTTGGAAAGTCTGTGCAATCAGTGATGATACACTGCAAATTGTGCATCACTTCGTGATACCTAGGTGCCTAAAGGTGGATTTGCGCCACATGGTCTATTCACATGCCAACTCTTGATAAATCGGAGTCTGCTCTTCACCCGCGCATGTGAGGAAGAGAAGTCAGTATGCAGAGATGAAGCAGATCCTAGCACGGCAGCCCTAGCACACTGCGGTCGAGCAGCTGCTAGGTCTATCAGCAGAAAGCTGAAGGATGTAGACAAGGAAATGAAAGAGCCTAGTGCGTCAGAGTGAACATGTGCGAATCTAAGGTAATCAATGAATTAAATTAATGGTAGAGCGAAAGGGAAAGAATGCCTTGTGCACTGTGAGTGCAAGAGAATAGATAGAGAGAGAGCGGAAATATGAGAGCAGAGACTAGAATTGAGTAGAAGAGAGAGAGAGAGAGATGAGAGAGATGGAGAGATGAGAGATTGAGAGAGAGAGAGTGGTGTGTGGTGTGAGAGACGAGCAGCGACCAGTAAGAGTAGATTTGAGAGTGAGAGCAGAAAGAGAGAGAGATGAGACGCGAGAGAGCGAGAGACAGCGAGACAGACAGACGCCAGAGAGAGAGTTGAGCAAGCGACAAAGTGAGGCAACGAAGAGAGAAAGCCTAAGTCTCAGCTGGTTTCGTTACGGCAACAGATAATCTACTACACGAAGCCCCGTTCTGCTCTATGCCACCAGATGTGAACGAGATACAAGTTCGAGCTAATGGACAGGCTGGCGCTGGTAGCTGCGCAGATCAAGAAGGAAGTATATCGCGCAGAAGATTTGAAGGAGCAGCAGCAGGACGATGATAGCGAGCTGCAGCCGAGGCGAAGGCGTCGTAGCCGGTGCGTGCAAGCGGAGGGTGCCTGAGGTTCACCGATGAGGGCGGGTTCAACCTGAAGCCGCACAAACAATGACGCGGTTTGCAGTCAGTCGTTGTAGCTGCCGTCGAGGGAGGGACGATGCTGACGACTGTTTGATCACACATGGACGACGGTCTAGTTGACACAAACATGGACGACGCGTAGTTGACACACCATGGTACGACGTAGTGACACTACATGGACGAGTAGTGACACAAACATGGACGACGTAGTGACACCAACAGGACGATCGTAGTGACACCATGGACGACGTAGTGACACATACATGGACGAGTAGTGACACAAATGGACGACTGTGACACAACATTGGAGACGTAGTGACACAAATGGACGACGTAGTGACACAACGATGGCACGGAACCGTAGTGACACAACGATGGACGGAGCTAGTGACTACAAATCGTACGGAGTAGTGACACAATGGAGACAGTAGTGACCAACATGGACGACGTAGTGACACAACATGGACGACGTAGTGACACAACATGGACGACGTAGTGACACAACATGGACGACGTAGTGACACAACATGGACGACGTAGTGACACATGGACGACGTAGTGACACAACATGGACGACGTAGTGACACAACATGGATGATGTCTTTGTGAGAAGCTTTGTTTGGCTAACTGTGCAAATGTAACAGCACCGACATTCGATCTGCAAATCTCAGTGTTAGTTACACTCACGACTCACAGTCACTAATGGTAGATGATGGTCAGTGATGTTGGTGCCATAGTCACAGTGATGTTACGCATTCAGTCACATTCAGTTTATAGTCACAGTGAATTATCACCATTAGTGATGTTGCACACCTACAGATTTGCACACCTACAGTAATGTTAGCAGTTCAAATGGTCGTCGACTTAATATTGATATATGATAATATAATATTGGTCTGTGTGGGTGTGGGTGTGCGTGCGTGCGTGCGTGCGTGCGTGCGTACGCGTGGCATTCAATTGTATACATAATAATAAATCATTGACAGAAATGTAGTCAATTTGTATAATACAGTAATATTTTATTAAAATTCAGAAAATATGAGCCCGTATGTAGGTTTAAGAAGCAAAATCGTGTGTCACTATAAAATCACATGCTCTACAAGCCAAGTTCATTGCTCTTGAATTCATACCGGGACATTTGTTTTGGGAAACATCTACACGAAGCATTAACATACAAAATCTATTATATTACATGTCACAACAGTCATACACACACATATGACATTTTCCTAACGTGTTTACTTCCACTCCGTACGATATCATGATAGAGAATAGACACCCTTTGTCTCTGTGTGGAATGGCTTGCCATCAGGCTCCGACTATTCACGTCTTCCCCCCCCCTCCCTCCCCGCTGCTCAAACTATAAATTCTGAGGCCTGCAGTCATGCGAGTCACGCATAAGCAACATTCAGACCAGAAGCCTGTCGATACTACCAGTTTCGCACGCCCTCACACAGCGAAGCGTCGAACTTGCAATGCATTTACAACAGTTGAATGCATATGCGCATAAACGTAACACTGCACCCCGCTGCATTAGCATCGTAGATAGATTCGTTATTTTGCGTCGACCGGTTGCGAACCGGCGGACTGGCAGATCTGTCTACGTAAATATCGACGTAACTGCAAATCTCTTGTCCGTGCTGACCCGTCTCTTGGAGCGTATAAGCGGCACATTCGAATACCGCAGTCCTCCCACTCGCATGTGTCATCTTCCCTGCGCGCATTGGGTGTCCTCACGATTAAAATCTTCAACCCGTTTTCTCCCAAAAAATACAAATCGCGTCAACAAAATAGGAAACCTTGCCTCAGCACTGGCGCCATGTACGAAATAATATACTGTGCCTACACTTAGCAAAGATGTGTGCCAAAGAATACAGGGGAAGTTGCTATATAAGGAGAAGGATACAAAAGGGAAGTGATCATAACAGGAATAGAAATGAGAGAGAGAGAGAGAGAGAGAGAGAGAGATTCTGAGTGGAAGGTGTCGGAACGGGGAAAAATACGAGAGTATAAACGGATATATGGGGAGAGACAGACGAGAAGGCAAGTTAGCAGGGAGGAAATGAGAGAGTAAGTGAGAGCTCGCACGTGTTAACCGGCTATGCGTTGATGCCGATGTTAGCCAGCACCTTTCGTTCACAGTCCGTGTGGTGCGCGCTAAACGTACTGTAGTAAGGCTGCTGACTCAGCTCCCGCAGAAACTCCATCAAATACTGCTGCAGATTCACCTGAAAATCGCAAACCACGCGCACGACTCAGCCAATGTCGACGCGTTCCCAATGCGCGCCAGCGAAACGAAGCAACAAGAGCAACACAACACCACCAAGAGCAACGCAAACATCTGTAAAACTTTGCATCCTAAAAATTGAAAACGAAGGCAATCGCATCGGCACGAAAATTGAAAACGAGGATTTTAAATGACATCCCGGATGAAGCCATGTTGTGCTTGGCACTACCTGATATAGAGGATCGTTCAGGGCATCCTCATCATCCTCGTCGTCGTCATTGTCGTTGGCGTCGAAGTCGTACCCTGAGAAGCAGAACCATAAAAATCTATACACCTCAACACGGCCACGGAGTTTGCATGGTACATTAAGTAGATACTCAGGGTAGAATACGGTGACAGGATTACATTTATCTGCATCGGTGACAAGTTCGTGACTAGTTGTGCAGGTGACAAGTTCCTGTTTACCTGTGTAGCCTGTAGGTGACAACCTTATATCAACCTGCGTACGTGACAAGTTTAGGTTTACCTGTGCAGTTGACAAGGTGACGTTTACCTGTGCGGATGACAAGGTGACGTTTACCTGTGCAGATGACAAGGTGACGTTTACCTGTGCAGATGACAAGGTGACGTTTACCTGTGCAGATGACAAGGTGATGTCCACCTGCATACGTGACAAGGTCACACTTACCTGCGTAATCTTCGGCGGGAGCGAGTAGATCCTGTAGCGTCTGCATGGACGGGTCGTCTCCATCCTCACCTTCCCCCAGCTCCTCGTCAGACTCCTCCTGACAAGGATAAACACACGCGTGAGACATATACGCGTGTAGCGATAGGCCAAGAATACAATAGCTGCCTCATCGTCAGACTCCTAGCAAGGATAAACCCACGCGTAAGACATACACGCATGTAACGATAGGCCAAGAATACAATAGCTGCCTCATCGTCAGACTCCTAGCAAGGATAAACCCACGCATGAGACACACACACGTCGCGTAATGATAGGCCAAGAATACAATAGCTGCCTCATCGTCAGACTCCTAGCAAGGATAAACCCACGCATGAGACACACACACGCGTAATGATAGGCCAAGAATACAATAGCTGCCTCATCGTCAGACTCCTAGCAAGGATAAACCCACGCATGAGACACACACACGCGTAATGATAGGCCAAGAATACAATAGCTGCCTCATCGTCAGACTCCTAGCAAGGATAAACCCACGCATGAGACACACACACGCGTAATGATAGGCCAAGAATACAATAGCTGCCTCATCGTCAGACTCCTAGCAAGGATAAA